ATCATAAGATAGCTTCATCGAATCAGCAGACATTTTCAAGTTTGAATGCACTTGATGGTGAATATCATCCATCCTTTCTGATAACACTTTCACAAACTCTGACACATTCTCAGGCAACTCTTCATAAGGTGGGCGTCCTGTTAACAGATCCAATGGCAACCGAAGTTCCTGACTAAACATCAACTTTTCTGGAGTGTATCCAGTGGCTTCATGCTCTGATTTGATATATATACCTGGCTCCATTTCACCATCATCAACTCCTTCAGTCACTTTGACTTCAGCTTGATGACATCTAATTAGTTCAACCTCTCTTTTAACAGTTAGCGGAACTTGGCCTTTGCGATACACTTAATTTCAACAGTCTCTGTATAACAAACGCTATAACTCACAACGAACATCTCACGTGCTCAACAATATTCTCTCTGTCCGCAGTTCAATAACTCAATACATTACCTCGCTTCAGTTCTTACTGGCTTATATATACATGACTACACTATATCTAGAAGGATCCCAATATTTAAGGAAGGGACGTGAATGTTCGAGAAGGACGTGGCGTGATACTAGTCACGTGACCTCTGCTGACGCAACAACTTGAAACAACAACAAAAAACGTAACAAATATTTGTATTAATTATGCGCACCTGTGATGGGTACAGCACAGGTAGCCCATTGTGTATTTTGTACTTAACAATAAATAAACAAACAGATTATGTGCAACTTAGGGTCTATGAATCAGAAGCGTCGTTAGGTACTTAAAAGATTCGGGGCTCGGGCCCATAGGCGCGGGAACTTTCGGCATTTCAGTGTGATAATAATCATGGTTTTCTATTTTGATTTTTAAGACACCAACTAGGGGACTTGGGTCAGTGTGAGATAAAATCAGGGCACGGGCGCCGTGTGCCAGTGCCTAGCGACGTCTCTGCTATAGATTTATGTTTAATATATATATTTAAACATTTTATGGGTTTATCATTGATTTAAATTCAATGTTTCTCAAAAGTGATGGACATAGTCGGCCAGTAATATGAGTCATAAAAATACGTTATTTCAAGGATTTTGCTAAGGTTCATCCATAGAATACATAACTTTAGAGAGAGCCTTTTGTGTAGCCTGGGGTATACTATTCTGAGAACGCTAAGGAGAACACGATTTATGGTGTTTTTGTGTTTCAATATATAATTATATAAAAAAATGATTGTTTAATGGCCTTGGGAAATCACATTCACATTTTAAATTAACTATTCCTCCTGATTATGTGTTAAATCATGTCCATTCTGCGCTTCTGTACTAGAACAATATTTTTATGGGACCTGTTAGACTTTGCAGTATAATTTAAGGCTTAACAATTTTGTTCCTTGTTTTTCTTTATTTGAAGGAAAACATTTCTTATATCCATTATTACGCTCGTATTTGTGTATTCGAAAATTATGATCTTTTCTACTCGGTGTCAATTAGATGAAAACTTTAACAGATTCCTCAAATTTTTCTTGTGTTGTTTTTAAATTGAAACAAAGTTGTAAAATATAATAGTTATTGTATCATTTTAAATATTCAACAGAATAATTCTAAGTTATTAGATTTATTTTTTTACACAACACGAAACTTATCTCTTGCTTAACTCGATACGTGAACGAGGTAATTTTCATCCTTTTTTTTTCGTTATCACTTTCAATTACTCAGGCAACCGTCTGCGTAAGTTCGAGTGTCATATTATTATCTGCTTTATAGGATATAATGGTTTAATTTTTCTTTTGCAGATTGTTTTAATTTCATTCTAACGTACAGAGTTTGGGGGAGGGGTACAAAGGTCTTTTTGTTTGGATAATTTATTGGAATATGATAAAAGGGTGGAAATTTGTGAAGTGTTTCTTTTAAATTAGTCCAACAGTTTGTTTGTTTGTAATTAAGCACAAAGCTACACAATGGGCTATCTGTGCTCTGCCCACCACAGGTATCGAAACCAG